ATACATAATTACTTTTTATCGCTATTATTTAGTTGTTATACGACTGTATTCGCTATATTCGTGCTACTATATTCGTGAATACAGAACAAGAATTCGCCTAAAAAATAGGGAAGTCCAGTTGTGCGACTGTATTCGCTGTATTCCTGCTACTGTATTCATGAATACAGTAGTGTTATTCGCCTAAAACATAGGGGAGTCCAGTTGTTTAATAACGAAAAGAGAATCAATTAGCATATATCACTCCTAATTTAACTCAACAAAATTAATTCTATATAAATTTCGCTACCACGCGACTGTATTCGCATTATTCACACTACTATATTCATGAATACAGTAATAAGGGAATCCAGCTGTGCAACTGTATTCGCTGTATTCAGACTACTGTATTCATGAATATATTAGCGGAATTCGCTTATAAAATAGGTGAATCCAGCTGTTTAATAACGGAAAGAGGATCAATTAGCATGTATCACTCCCAATTTAACTCAACAAAATCAGTTCTACATAAATTTCATTGCTACTCTGTTGTATTCCATGCATTTGTGTGACTGTATTTATAAAATACAATGCGACAATCAAGAAATAAGGTGGATACTGTTCTATTCAATTCGACTGTATACATTGTATTCAATTCACATATATTCATTATTCACTATTATACATTGTATTCAATTTACCGTATTCAATTCGACTGTATTCAAACAACAAAAAATCACAAAACACAGTGATATTCGGCTGTATTAAAAATATACAAACCTTCAAAATACATAAATACAGCCAAAAACAAAATGTATTTATATAAAAATATAATATATTTGTACATAATTTAATGTATTTGTATCATTGTATGTGACTAAAAAGCAAATAAGAGAAGAAAATTCGTCGGAGATGGCTTTTTCCGGCTAAGAAAAATACTGTATATTAAAACTAAAAATGGAGACAAACAACGACCTGCCCCTCAAATCTTCTACGGCGTAGCCATTGCTAGATCTGTTCGCCTAAGAGGATGAGCCGATAGTGGATTCTGACGTCCACGATCAAAATTGAGTGTTTTAGTAGGTATACCTCGTGTAACCCTCTTCGGAGTTGTTGAATCAGCCATTGAAGACGAAATTTGAAGTTTCTTCCTCAAAACCTAACAATGACGAAATTGTTTTAAAAAAAGTGAAGAGAAAAAGAAGAATGATAGAGTAATTTGGCGTGAACTGGCTAAAAACTTTACCAATTACCACGATGTTACAACCCCAAATCCACTAGTCGTGATGGCACCTAACCCAACCCGCTAGGTAAGCCAACTAATAACCATCCAATTTTAATAATATTAATAAGACAATTGAACAAAAGGAATTATCTGAATATTAAACATTTCCCCCCAAGAACTGGCAGTACAAATCATGAGCTTCTAAGAATAGAGTTTACGAAGCGAAAATGAAATAAATACATAGTCTGTTTGAATAGTACATAAACAGAGTTTTATAGATCCAAAGCTACCACAAACAAGAGGCAACTACAACCGGGATGCAGGTACATCTTCAATCCAGCTCCCATCGAATACAGTAATACGACCTCTGTGGGTCCCAATAATACTGACACATAGCCTCAACATGATTTTAAATATGATTCTCAGCTCAATTTCTTCAACACATAAAACCACATAGAAAATGCCAAGATTATTTGACTACAAAATTTCATGGAAACAATTACGTCACAATTTCTATAGTGCATGCCCACACGCCCGTCACCTAGCATGTACATCACCTCCCAAAAATTCACATAATACATATATTCAGGATTCATACCCTCAGCTCCAAGATTAGAAGAGTTACTTACCTCGAACAAGACGAATCCAATGTCGAGCAAGCTAAACAATGCTCCAAAAATTCCATTATGTGCGTATCAACTTCCGAACGGCTCGAATCTAGCCACAATTAATTTGATTCAGTCCACAAAATTATAGGAATTAATTCCATATCAAAATACTAATATTTTTCATAAAATTCAAAATTACACCCCAAAAATCACCCGTGGGGGCCACCTCTCGGAACCCGACAAAAGTTAAAAAATCCGATAGTCCATTCAACCACGAATCTAGCCATACCAATTTTATCAAAATCCGACCTCAACTCGACTCTCAAATTTTCAAACACCGAAAATACTACAATGCTCCAATTGATTAAAATGTCCAAATATCACCCACAATTCAATACCTACCATTAGATATCCCAACTATATCAAAAATAAATACGAAAAGATTCATAAATATCCATTTAGACTTCATAATTTGCAACAAATCTTCAACCATCCCAAATTATCCAATAGGCTCATCTATTAGCCAATTCAATTCTATTATTTTCATTTAATACTCATTTGGAGTCATTAATAATACTATGTTAATAAGCCAACATCATTAAGTCACTATTCATTATTTTCTCCAACAAAATCCTATGTTCAAGAACACTCATTTCAAGAACTAATATTGTATCTTGTCAAAATGGCGATTCCTTATTCAATTCGTTCATCAATTAAGTTATCAAGTCTATTGGAATCATTAGAAACTCAAAACAATTCCTTTTATATCAATTCATTACTATTCATCACTATTTATCTTACTCTTTGCCCAAAATATCATTTTCAAGACCCTCCCTTAGGGTTCATACAACATCCCATTACAACTTCAAATAAAA